CAGCAACAATTTCCTAATTTTGCTTGGATCACTACACAGACTTGAGGTCAAGTCCTTATTTGAAGGGGGGACAAATGTAATAAGTGAAACTAAAGGGTCTTATGGTAATAAATAAGATTCCTATTTTTGGCCCAAAGTTAGTTGTCAGGGTAGAAAGGAAGGCTATTTTAGGAAAAGAATAAGAATAGCGGAAAATTGGTTGTGAAACTGCCACACAAGAGTTATAAAAGAGACCCTCTTGTACATTGTGAATAATTTTGAATCATTAATTGAAGTTTTTCCCTCTTTTTGCTTGAGTGCAGAGAGTGAGTTGTGAGAGAAAGTCTTACTCCTTGTTACGGTTTCTGTCATTCATAGTTGAATTATTACATACTACGATAGATACACAAAGAGTGAATTAAGTAATCTTTTGTAGGAAGTCTCTAATGAAAAACTAGATAATGAATTGAAGTCTTTAAAGGTAGAGTGTGACGTTTTAAAAATTGAGGTTGCATCAAGGTGAAATAAGGGTGAAATTCATATTTATTATGAACACCTTGTATCTGAACCAACTCCAACTACCAACAGAATTTTATGAACAAAATGACGACATCAAGGAAGCAAAGAAGTATAACATCATAAAGACAATATTGAAGTTGAACACGTAGGAACATAACCTGTAAGGCTAGAAAATGCAAATGATAGAAAAGAAAATTTAGATGCTGATGCAAATAGTAAGGAGGTATTTCCACAATTCAATTTGGAGGCAACATTTGGTTAGGTATTTTCATTGTTCAGTAAAATTATAATAAAAGTCATAGATCTATGGTCAGAACAAAGAAAATGGTAGATAACAGTGGATAAAACAATCAAACGACACCTTATCATTAAGCGTATCAATATCATACAATGTTATATTATGACACATATTAAGCTTCTAACTTCAACTTCCAAATAACAAATCTTGAAGTGACATTCTCTAAATATTTATGGTCTCTAGATATGTTCTCCAAATCATAAGTGCTTTCAACTAAATCGACATTTCCTTCTCCGTCGTCAACCTAAAAACAAAAGGTCCAATGATTAGTCATCTCCATATAAACATAGAAGTTTCTTTCAATTTTGGTAAAGGATAACATAATGTAGAAATTTACTTCAAATGACTTACCTGATAATTAAGGCATCCGTGGAAGAGTTTACTTGAATTTACCATAGTATTTAATTTTTTAGGATAGTATTTCGACCACAATAACAAATCTTTGGATTATTTTCTCTAAAATAGACACCAATGCCATTGCCTTTGGAAATAACTTAGAAAATAGTTTCATAATACATTGCTTCATGATAGTAATGGTTACATATTTCTTCTACTTGACATTTTCTGTTTTTTACCTCCACTGGAAAAAAAAAAAACTAACCTAGTTGTAAGTGAAACAATAAGATATTAGAAAGTGAAAACAAAGATGAAAGCAATAGAAGAAGAGAATGTTAGAAAAGAAATGAGATGCGTTTAAATTTTTAGTTCCTAAACTTTGTCCCCTTAAAATGATGTTTTCATGTCCTATATATAATTTACATTGTCATTTAACATGCAACTCGATATTTTATTATTATTTTTTATCATCAATCAAAAACATTTTTTTTAATATAAATGGAAATAACTAATATTAGAACTAACGTGATATATAATGTTTATTACTTTATTATTTTATTTTTTTGAATAACAAAGTATATGTGCAAAATAATTACACACATAACAATCAAACTTATATTTAACGGTCAATGAAATAATAAATTATAACTCGTTATATTAAATTAAATAAAAAAACTTAGACCAAATATAAGAACTTTTAAACTTACACTAGTGTAATAAGATCATGATTCATATATATACAATAATATCAATTTTATATTATAATCTATTATATAATATTAACCTAATTAATTTTATAATTAATAAATTTTAAATAATTAATATCTTAAATATAAAATAATAGTTATAAGTATATCAAAAGTATATTGTTGTAAATATTTTTAATCTTCAAAATCTTATTAGAAAATTGATGTCAAACTTAATATTTAAGTAACTAGAAAAGTAGTTTGTTCTTTTTCTTAACCGTAGCACTATTTATCAAAATGTATAATAATTTACATAATTAATAAACTTAAAATAATTATCAATAAAAAAATACATGCACGTGCATTACTAGTGAAAAATCTACTGAAAACAATATAGTTATTGATTTAGGCTTGCCCAATTTTACTAAGCTACTTGTGCCTTGCATCCAAATTCGAGTCGGGATTGCTGAGTAATATGATGCATTTGTGCATGGAAAGTGCCAAGCTAGTGAAAAACTAATAAAACGGTCATATAAACTATACTACTATAGCTAGGTTAGGTATTAATATGAAACTATCTGAATTTTCATTCCCTATAAAATTGCACCAACTAGATACATGGTTTCAACGAAATGGTGTGTTGAACTGAAGGAACAAGGTAGTTGAAGAACACGAAAGCACCTAGCATTTCAGCTCCAACAACCACATGTTCAGGAAGCATACAAAATATTTTTCTGCATGTCTTAGCAACCTAAGCCCCTCACTGTCACCCTTTATCTTATTCTCAATGGTTCAATAAAATAATAGATAAAAAGAGAATCACCGGTACAGCAGAAAATAAAAATAATAAAACATAAAGAACTCATATAACATGTGGCTTCCATCTTGAAAGAACTCCTAATGAGAACACCTAGCAATCTTTCTTTCACCAACAAGGTCAAAGTTCCGAGACAAATTTAATTGTACATAAACTATGTTGACTATGTTAGTTAGTTAAACTCTTGCTTCCAAATCTTAGAAATAGCAAGATTCCATTTTTACATTTTCCGTATAATCTCCAAACATGATTTGTCAAGCCAAGGCCGAAATTTTCCTTCGTGGGTCATATTCTACAAAAATATAAACAAAGAACATCAACATAATGCTGCGGCATGAAATTCACATTAGTTAGCAGATGATATGTACAAGAACACATCACATATTCACCACTGTGTTAGAACATATAAATATGAAACTACAAATCAGTGTGATAGGAACAGACCCCCAAATTAGGAAGGTGTTAGGTACCCACATTAGTATATACTATTACTACTATGTTAGTTACCCATTAATAGTTAGTTAGGGGAATTGGGAGGAATCTGACAGAAGCAACCCAGTAACGTTCTGGAAATAGTAGAAAACAGAAACAAAAACAATGTGCTTGACATCAAGAATCAACAGAGATGACAATGAAATGGGTCTATCGTTGGATTGCAAAAAGGAGGCGAAAATTGAGGGAGGCTCTATGTTTGGCACAAAGGGAGAGCCAAGGAAACAAACAACAGCAACAATGAAGGTTTTGGGTTTAGGTAGTATAATCAACCTACCACAAAAGGAAAATAGAGTAGACGGTCTTGATAATCATCAATTGCAAGTTTGCAACTATGGGTAATATTGCAATTTGCAAAGGAGTAATGGGGTCTCAGTATCATTATACAGCCTTTGATGCCTATTCCATGGCCATAAATACCACAGAAAACAGAACACTAAGAGAGATAGTGGTATTCACATGTTTGTATTTAACCTAGGAGGAGAAGCTATTTTTAAGCTAAAAGGTGGAGTTGACTTAATCATCATGCTTACAGAAGGAAACCCACTAGAACTTTGTTTGGTAGATGCTATAGCTATTCACCTTACATGGTAATTGTTTAGCCAAGGAGTGTTGTTAGGTAAACTACCTTAGTAGTTACAACATGTTAGTTACCCATTAGTAATTAATTATAATATATTAGTCAGTTAGCTTGACTTGATTAATTAGGCACCATGCCTATAAATAAGTAAAAGGGATTGAGGAAGGGATACAGTGTCAATTGTGAGAGTTAGAGGCTTTAGCTTGGGAGGAGCAGTCCCTTGAAGAACTGCAGTATCCAATCTTTGTAATTGAGGTTTATCTCTATTTCTTCTTAATTAGATATCCAGTATCAAAATGTCTACAAAAGAAGGCATAGAGCAGCCGAAGGACATTAAAACCTTAATGATCCTTTCAAAGTAAAACTAACCAACCAACCAAAAGTTAGTTAGTTAGGAGTAGTAGTTCACATATCAAGATAGGGTAAGAAAGAAGCTGTGGTGAAGCGGCAGAACCTCCTAACTTTTATAAAAACTGGGAAATGGGAATTAGTCTCTAGTTTACAGGAGGCTTTCCTCATCTCCACCTTCAGGAAGAGAAGTTTTAGAGGAGGGTATTGATAGGAATTGATCCCGATTAGAAAGGTCTATGAGAGGAAGCTTTGCTTGAACATATTAAGTGACTTAAAACAAGAAATTATGTGAACATGATGAATCTACTGACTTACTTGCAACCAGAAAATAAATCCACGCAAGACAAACAAAATCCTTTCTGGTTCCTTGAGTTCAGAAATTGCTTTAGCTAGATCTGCACAATCATGAAACAAATATTTGACAGAGAATGGCATCAGATTGAGCAAAGACAGTTATACAATTATGTGAATAGAAGTTCTTGAAAGTCCAAAAGAAGCAGAAGTTCATGAGCAAATTATGTGAATAGAAGTTCATGCGCAAATTACCATATTACATTTATTACCGAGGTTCCAAATTATTTTCACCACCCATGTTATGGAAATTACGCTTAACCTCCTATATTAAAATTTCAGTTTTACTCAGACCACTGCCCATTTATATATTTTCAGCAGACACAAACAGCCATCTCATTACATAGCAAATACCAAAAAACAAAGGTAGTTGTAGGTTTTAAAACGAAAGGGATGGAAAGATTAACTTGCTCTTAATTCGTATAATTCAACTAAGTTTTGGTTGGTCCATGCAAAATATCATGTGAGAGATGTTTAATGTTAGAGATGAAGAATGAATCAAAACTATTTAGTCTTGACTGCTTGATTAGGATTAAACATCATGCTCCCAATTTATATATAAAAAAGGAATATCTGAAAAGTCAAACTAGTTTAGGAAACACTGGACCTACCAGGGTACAACTCAAGATATGATTGATTGACACCCTTGGTGTGATAAGACTTAACCACCCCCTGACGTGTTTCTACATGGCGTTCCTTTTGCCTTTTCTGACGTACTTCATGCATAAGTCTATCACATTCTTCTTGGTCATACGGTCTTAGAATATCTTGCATGAGTCTTCTCCTAAACTGAGAATGATCATAAGCAGAGAATTGCCAGCTGTCTCCGTGGTTCATTTTATTTTCAAACCACTAAACACAGAAAGACATATTATGAAGATAAGTTAAACATAATTGTTTCAAAAATACTTAACAATGTGCTTGTGTGTGAAACATATTGAAGATTATGAACAATACAGTTACACTGACTGAAGTGCAAAACACTTACAGATGCATCATATGTTTTTGAAGAAACAAATGGAGTGTTCTCATCAATTTGATTAGGTTCTAGAAGAATAAGATCTGAGTCTGAGGAATTACTGCCACCTTCCACATTGTCTGTCTTTGAGATAATCCTCTCAGGCATATAAACCAAATCACCATCAACAATCTCAACAAAATTCAGGAATTGTTGGTAATCATCATCAATTTCATTTGGCACTTCAGGAGTACCAGATACATGATCAGAAACTTGTGAATTTTGCCTATCAGTTGAACTCTTTCCTATTAATTCACTACCCATATAGACCAAATCATCATCTTCTATCCTACAAGAATTCAGGAATATCTGGTAATCTTCATCCACATCATGTAATCCCACATTACTGTGGAAAATGCTCTTGGGGACTTTACAAACATGTTGATGTGGCCTTGTGTTACAAGGTCCTCTTTCAGTCTCTGAATTCTGCTGAGATCCCATTGGGCAACCAGTCTGTTTTCTCGTTGAATCACTCCCCTTATTTCTTAGGTTTCCAGTCTCATCGTTTAGTTTTAAACCCTTTGTCATCTTATGCAACTGATCTTCTGCTTGACCCCGGTCCATTTTATGAACAGACTTGTTTTCTGCAGAACAAGAGTATAAATAGGAACCCCTTTCTTCCCTCAAATTCTCCAAGAACATATTGTAATGAGGATCGTAATCATCATTATTATTACTGTTGTGGCCAGCGCTGATGTCATTATCAGAAACATAGGTATCCAAAAACATTTTGTAATCTTCATCTATTTCATCCTCTGATATATGACCATTTTTTCCTGTTAAAATAGTCATATTTCCACAATCCTTCACAGTTGATTTTGTAGCACTGCCACCGCGATTGTGCTTCAAACGTTCATTTGAAAGCTCCCATCTTCTCCATCGTCTTTCTAATCTTTTATAGTCCTCAGAATTCTGACCTTTCTGATGCTCACTCCTTTGAGAATCACCTGGATTAATCTTGATCGAAGCACGCCCCATCTTCGTTTACTGAGAACAGTGTCCTCCTTTGAAGCAGAATACTCACTGTAAAGACCAAAAATAAAATAAAAAAAGCAGTCCTTATGTTACTGTGAGAAAAAATACTTCTATTGAATATAAGCTGATTTTCTAACGAAGAACATTTTGTCTTGTGCATTATAGGAAACAAATTGAATCCAAACGACGGATACAATACAGAAACATAAATACAACGCTAGACAACAGCCCATTTTGTTCGATGCACATACAAATAATATTAATATGCGTCAATAGGCATTATTTCTCAACTAAATACAATAACAATTTGATCAACATGCAATCTTTTTGCTTTTTTTGTGAAAAACGAAAAAGGGGGTTTCTTAAATAAAAAACCAGACCCACAAGTGTAGTTTTTCTGCAGAGACATTCCAAAGCAAGATCAGATGAGATGCACAACTGAAAAATATAGCAGCAACAATCATTTTCATACCCATTCTACTCATTTTATCTTCAATACAAAGAACAATAGAATAAGATGATAAAATGTTATTTCATAAAGATTAAAAAACATCAACTTGAACCAGCAATTGATGGCAAAAGTAAAAGATATTCCAAAGAACAAAACTTGATATTCATTGAATAACCCACACACCATTACCCAAACCCATTGGGATAACCCAGATGAATGATAAGTTCCAATTACCCACATATTATACACACTTTCAACTGAAAGTTCAATATCCTTTACTACAAGCAAACCACATTCCCAAGACCCATCATGATCACATTCCATACCAATCCCCACTATCAATGTAGCCCAAACAAATGATCCGTTACCCCCAAACAGACCCATTCCTTCATTCTTCAAAATAATGGTTTGGTTCCCATTACTATCTTTCCATCGATCGTTAGACCCAATGCATGCATGCACCCGTTCACACCAAATAACAAATCAATAAACAAATTGATTATTAATTAATTTTTTAATAAGCATTCGACCAATGAACGCCGAGGCATACTATAAAACAAATTAAGGGAAAAACAAACAAACAATTAAAAGATGATGGCATTTTTGGTTCCAAGAAAACTAAACGTTTCGGCAGCGAATGCTTAAAACCGGAAAAGTCAATTAATAGTAATAATAATAAATCCTAAAAAAGCATAAAACAAAAGCATACAAGACGATAGTAAAACAGTGAAATCAAAGCAAGACGAGATTAGGTAGCAGGGTTAATTGGTGTCGAAAAAGGAAAAAAAAAACAACAGAAGAAGAAAACCTTTGAAGAATTAGAAAGCGACAACGTAACAAGCTTCAAGTTCTGAAGATTTGATGTCACGTTTCGTGACGTTTTATATATACACCACACTGTGACACCGACTTAATCATCCCATCTGTTATATATCCAACGAAACTTAAGGGCAGCTATTGGTAGTCCTCACCAGAATTGCGACAGTAATAAAAGTTAAAAATAAAGATTAATATATTTTATAATTTTTTTCAAAATACTATATTTTAATAAATTTTCTTATTTTTTTCATGTAAAAAATAGCCTCGGTATTGTGCAACTAAGTTTTGTCTTCATATATAATATATACTACTGCTTGATTTTATTTTTAAATTTCTTAAAATAAATTTTGTTAAGATTTAATAAATAAGATTAAATATTTGATTTGATAGAATATCTTGGGCTTTAATCCTTTCCGTTTGTATCGCCAAATATATATATATATATATATATATATAAATCAATATTATTTAATACATTTTTTAAAAGAAAAGATTAATAAATCTAATAATCGATCTGAAGTTGTTATAAATACATCAATTTTATAAAAAAATTAATAATTATTTCCTCATATTATTTTATTATATATAATATTCAAAAATTAGATAACAAAATAATGACTCAGTTCTCTTATTCGAGAAATTTATCTTCCCATTTTTCTCTACTTGAGAGATAAGATTATCGTAACTGACTTTTAAAAATTATCTTAAGTGGGATAATTATAAAAGTTAAACAATATTTAATATTCTTATTTAATGCTTTTTAAGAAAGAAACATGACAGAAAGCCCAAAACAAGGAAAACCTACAAAATTTAATTGTTCTTTTTAATATCATACAAACAATATTAAAATTTAACTCATAGCAACACTCCTATAAAGAGGTATTCAATAAGAAAATGACTTTTTGAGCATAAATTGGGACAATAAAAAATTGTCACTTTAATTTTTAGTTAGACTTTATACATGTATACGACAAAAAGGAGAAAATTAAGTAAAAATAAAGATAATTATATATAATATCTTACATGTCAATTTTTTGAAATTCAAATAAGGGAATTCTTTAGACAATAAAAATTCAAATGCAGTTTTTTAGCATTTTGTGAAAATGTATCTATGTTAGGATCAATGTAATCAATTTAAATATCGAATGCAATCAATGAAAAAGCTTCAAGAGCCTTCGTTTTTCTTTTTAAATCTGAAGGTAAAGAAAGCTCAGAAGTTTTATATATAACAGAAATCTGAAGGCCAAAGGTGATAGATGAAAATAGTTAAAGAACCTTATTTAAAACTGTAACATTACAGTATTAACATAGACTAAGCTTTGGAGTTCAAGGTCATTTTTATGCTGTTGAACTTGGTGTCTAAATTTTAACAATTGAAATCTCCTTTCTTTATGAGTTATTTTTTATAACATTTACTTCTTCCAATTTAGTGAAAATATTGGCTTGGTAACTGCTTATTTGTCCATAATATACTGTTGTCAAATAGTGTGTATAACAAATAGATTTTTTGGGCTTTTACTTCATTTTTTAACCCAAAACAATAATAATTAGAAAAAAAAATAGATTTTGAGTACTTTAAATAGTCTGGAATATGGATGATTGTTTCATCTTAAGGGATCTAAAAGAATACATGTGATAGAGACAATAGCAAAAAGAAAGGCTTCAATAAAAGGATCAAAGACTAATTAAATTATGCGTGCCTCGACTAACACACAACAAACTGGAAAATCTATATAGTAATCTATCTAATTTATGCCCCATCAACCAAAATTTTCTTCTCGTCCTGTTATACTACATTTACCCATACACTTCAGTCTACAGACTGTGAATCTTACAGATCAATTTTCAAAAAGAAAGAAGAGTAACACAAATAACTGTTGGGTGGGGAAGTTTTCTTTGGTAGAGCCTTACAAGGTGCATACACGACAATATAATCTAAAACTTTAAGGTAATAAGTGTATGGATCTATTTTTTTATAGACTCATAATTTACTCATATCACATTCTATATGAGATTCAATTCGTATTTAACTCTAATACTCATCTCAAATGTAATCAAGTGTGAATCTATATATTTATATAGGCTTTCTCCACAACAAAAGTTTTTTTTTTATTACGAGTATCTATGGTTTATACTATATGAACTGTTATCCATGATATTTTTTTAGCTCCACACCCTCCACACATTGATCATTTAGTGTCATTATTTCTTTTACGATTCATTTTTCACACTGACCATGAGTTCATACTGTAGACTCACTCAGTCGCAGTTCATTTACTCGTCTGAGTTAGTCACCTAGAACAAATATCATATTGAATTGGAGAATAGTTAAGTAGAGAGCCTTTAAAGGGTAGAACACACAATACAACTCAAAAATATTAAGGAAATAGGTACATGCATTCATTTCCTTATAAACCCCTAACTTAATCTTATCATATTCTATATCAAACTTAATTTATACTTAATTCTAACGATAACATGGAGAGAGATCAAAACTAGTGAAAATCTAAAGATGTACGAAAGTAAAATTAGAACAAGTCAAATCTAATGAAAAACTAGATTAAATCAAAGAAACCGAACCTTGTTTAACGGTGAAGTACGTACTTTCTGCTTATGCATCCTAACTCTAAGAATGAAACTAACTCCAAATGGTGTGTTGAGAGATACACTAGGAAATATGGCCTGCAATAATCACATTGTACGGTTTCCAAATTAGTACGTTGTGCGGAGAGATGCAACTACGTCATTTGTGAGAGCTTTGTGAAAAACGGTCCTAAAGCAACAATCACGTCGTAGGGTTCCTAGTCATTCAAGTTCTAACATTTTGCTTTTTTCTTGTCAAATGATATTTAAAACGATAAACTCCTCTAATATATTCATTCTCACAATATTTACATTTAATTCTTATAACATATCCAAAAATATAAACATCATAATTTTATGTCACATCATTTTTTGTTCTAGCAATATTGTTCTTTGATTTTAATATTAAAGTTCCACTTTCACCAACAATTCCACTCTTGAAGCTCTACTTGGCTGAATCTTCTTCCCTTTTCCATTGCCTCTAACTTCATTCTTAATATTGGATGGCATGTAGAGATGAATGAACAAAAACGAAAGAAAAATAAAGAATTAAGACTCACCCACACTCACAGAACCGAGACCCACCCATGCAAAATTACCACACTTACACAAAACTGTGAACCAGAGCCGTGAACTAGAATTGTAAACACTAAACAACGAACACCTACAATATATAACTAATGGCAAAAAGAAGAGAAAGAACAATGAACACCCATAGTATAGAAGTTGTAGAAACCAAAGCTAAACCCTCAAATAGCAACCATCGCACAAGTTGGTTCAAAATGGAGAAAAGATGAGAGAAAATGTGGCATTGCTGGAAAAGGAGTTGTTGCACTGGAACAAAAGTTCAAAATGGGGTAAACAATGCCCTAGAAATATGTTTTTAAAAATTAGGTTGCGAAAACTTGACCCAGAAACCTGAGTCGCAAAAACATGACCCAGAAATTCATGTTGTCATGATTAGATTAGACCGTTGATCCTACAATCCTAAGAAGAAAGATTGGAAGCCTAGGTGATTTTGCCAATTTTTGATCCTGCTTCCGATTAATATCGTGGGGCAAGGGAGAGATCGTAAGATCGCACAATCTTGCAATTAAGATGACAATTTTAACAACATTGGTGATTACACAAAATAGTAAATTAATCTCTT